TACTACTACTACTACTACTGTACTAAGGCTATGACTACCGCTACTACCACTGCTCCTGCTGCTGCTCCTCCTCCTCCTCCTAGTACTACTCCTTCCGCTGCCGTTGCTGCTGCTACCATCGCCATGACGGCAGCACAGTTCTGTTGGTCATGCTCACATTGTCTGTGCACTTGGGGAGGCAAGTGTTACTGTTGCTAGCAGCACTCATACTGTTGGTTCTTGTGAACATGACGGCATCATCGCCGCCACCGCCACCGCGAACCGCCATGATCGGGACCACTACCGCAACTGCTGCCCTTCACCACCACCAGCAGCTGCTGCTGCCCCTAGACCCTAGACTCTTTGCAGGTTACAGCCGAAGAGGCCAGGGTGGCTACCGGCAGCGCTTCTCGAGTGAAGGAGGCCGGCAGCGCTTCTCGAACGAGGGAAGGGCCTCGCCCTCAGGCTCCAGCCGCTGTATAAGCCTGATGAGGGCACGGGGATCGGCCCTGTCGCCAGTTGGGTCCCGAAGCAGATCCCCGAATGCCAGAACCGACTCTTTTAAGCTCAGGGGCGGTCGCCACCGCGAAAAGGTGCCTGTGAACTTCCTGCAGCTCCCGATTTTGTGGCGGGTTTTGTTCCGCATTCAGAGGGCCTAAGGTTTATAGGGATCCGAGGTGTAAATGAAGTTTTATGGCTTGAGGTTGAGGCTGCGTGCCGTGCTTCCAGTTCCTTGCTCCGCGTCATAGTGTAACTTCGAAGGCATGCGCATAGACGACACTTAAAACGGCCGGAGCATGTCGGCCAGACACCCAAACGTGGGGAGTGCACCCGACACCAGAGACTGCTCCTCCCCAGCTCCACAGCAGTCATCCATGCAACAGGATTTCTCAGACATCCCAGAGTATAGACTGGATAGAGATTGCAGCCCGAAGCACTGGCAGATGGATGCAGGTAACCGCCAAAGAGGGGAGGATTTGTGGCTCGGTGGCACTAAATCCCGGGACTGCCTGACACCCCAAAGCCAGTTTCAGGGTAAACCTGCACACCGCTTGTTGTCACTGCGAATATTACTAAAACATATATTATAAAGCATGAGACTGCAATACAATATAACGCAAGACAGTATTTTCTGGCACCAATTCCCCTTCTTTAATATCAAACATATTATGTAATTTTCTGTAATATTATTGAATACTTTCAACAACTGTAGCATATTATCTAGCATATTCGCTGGATGTGTATACATTTCCATTACATATGTGTATGTATATGAGATGAGGTCAAAATTATCGTATATTGGTTGCAAAGCAGGCGGTTGTCGAAGATAGCCAATGCTACCGTTGACGTGTAAAACGATAGGGGACGCTCTAAAGACGACACTCTAAATGCAACAATATTGCCAAGTTGCATTCACTGTAAAACGATAGGGGCCCCAAAACGATCGTAGCACAAACAAATAATTTTGACGCCGGCTCACATAGGTCT